GGCAGCTACTTTCGCTGGCAGCCAAGATGAGGAAGCAGGGAGACAAGCTTGAGAGCTCGTTGGACCCCTCCTCCTTGCTCCCCCGCGTGTCGAACTCGAAGCTGCCGACGCTGGAGAGCAGCAAGCAACTTGATAGCTACGCGAGTGAGAACAGCAGCTTGAAGCAGAAGGTCGAAGACCTCGAGAAGCAGGTGAGGCCAGGAGGTGGAGAAAGAGGGGAAGCGAGGAGAGGGAGAAGTAGGAAGAGGGGGACGAGGAATGGGAGTCAAGGTAAAATCAAACTTTGAACATTTGGAGCAGATGGCGAGCATGCGTCAGAGTAGCGATGATTCCAAGGCGGTGAGTGACAGAGGATGGAGGGGGGGGGGGGTGAGGAGGAGGAGGAGGAGGAGGAGTCTGAGGACATGCAGGTGGATGTACGAGCAAAGGAGGAGGAGATTGCTGGTCTCAAGGCTACGCTGGAACAGCGACTGGATCAGGTGCTGGGTTGTGGGTGGTGAAGCCAGAGGAGGAGGAGGAGGAGAAGGGACGAGGAGGAGGAGAAGCGAGAGGATGGGGGATATCAAGAGGCGGAGGAGGCGGAGGAAGGAGTGCTGAATCGCTTGACAGGCGCCACAATTTCGAGCTTTGAAGCAGATGCTACAGACGAAGAACGAGGAGATCAAGCAGCTGCGAGCTATCTTGACTGCTAATGGCTGGCAGGATCCTAACGTGGGGGAGGAAGAGGCTGCATAGCTCTATTCTTCCTCTTCATCTCCTTTCCTAGATATTTCCTTCATCTTTATCCTCTCCTCCTTCTGATACCCCCCTCCCTGCGTCTCTTCCCCAGCGGGCGAGCATCCTCCCGCCCCTCCTTCATCGACTCGCTTGTCGCAGCAGGGACCTGCTCTCTCCGTCAGCTCCTGGGCCTTGCCGTCTTCTCCTCACCTCCTCTCTCCCTTGCCCAGTCGCCGTCGCATCCACAGGAGGATCACGAAGGGCGAGAGCTGCAGGCGCGTCAGGCCAACCCCCACAACACAGGACAGACTCACCATGAGGACGCAGAAGGCGAGGGCGATCAGGGACCAGACGGCAGCTTGGAACAGAACCTTGCTCTTGTCCGCCTCCTCCTCGATCCCCTCCAGGTCTCCCGACCCCACATCGTAGGAAGGCTCTCGCAGCTGACGACTTGTCACGCTCCTCCGCTGCTCAACCTCTTCCTCCTCTCCCTTACCACGTCGACGTTCCTCGCCACCGTCCTCTTTCCTCCCTTCGTCTGTCTTGCACCCTCTGTCTGCAAGGGCCCCATCCTCACTCGCCTCGCGCTGCTCCTGCTGGTCTCTTCATCCTTGTCGTGAAGCTCCATGAGGCGAGGAGCCTGAAGCTCAACGGGGGAGGACAGTTCCTCGCACAGCATGGAGGAGAAGTTGCTGGGCATGCCTGCGACTTTCTTCCTCCTGTTGAGCACGAAGGATGGGGTCGTGGTGATCCCCATCCAGCTGGAGTATCCGTAGGAGGCGGCGACGAGCTGCTCGCCGTTGCCGTTGGCGCAGGAGACAAGCAGGTCGATGTCCATCGCTGCCTCTGACGCGCACTGGGAAGCGAGGAGGGGGATCTGAGAGACTGAGCGCAAGTGAGCAGGAGGAGAGGGTGAAGTGAGGATAGAAGATATAAAGATGGGGAGGAAATAACGGGAGGAGGGCGAGGAAGGGAAGGAGGAAGGGCAGAGGAGGTTCGAGGGCTACCGTTTCTGTCCATGCATGAGATGAATTTCACGTATTGGTAGTCACGTGCATAATGTTGTCTGGCGCAGAGCTCCAGTTTCTCCCCCGCCAGCTCTGACGCTCCATGGATCGCCTGTTCCACGTCAGCAAGGATCCTGGAGGAGCAGGAGGATGGGGAGGAGGATGAGGAGGAGGAACGTCCAATACCTTGAGGTTTGGCTCTTCGTAGCTCCCATCGTTCAGCCCCACCATATGCAGACGAAAGTCTAGCTGACCCTCAACTGTCCTCCCGTCTTGTTGGCACGTGAACTTGCAGTTGAGCTTCTCCTCCAGCTCCTGCAGCGCCTTCCCACACCAGGGGCACTTCCCCATGACGTACATGTCCAGCTGCAGGACCTGCATGTGACCCCTGATGTCATCCTCCTTCCTCCTCCTTTCTCCCCCTCACCGGCTCTCCCTTGCGAGGAGGATCACAAGCAGCAGGGGGCTTGTCCTCCAGCGGCTGGTCGATGCCTCCTTCGATCTGCCAACGGGCTTGCACGTCGGCGATGAGCGCGAGGCGCATCGGCCGCGTCATGCAGTCGGGCTGGAGGTTGTCGCACACCCGATCTATCCTCATCTGCAGCTCCAGGTGAGGGCAGGGGGCAGCAGCAGAGCAGCGGGACCTGAGGGGAGGAGGAGGAGGAGCTGATGGGGAGAAGGAAGAGGGAGGCGTTGAGGCCAAACTCCCGCGGGAATATCGCGCGACTCCAGTCAGCCCGTCGGATGCCCCATGCGGTCACAACATTGTGAATCTTCCAGGCAAAGAGAATGGCGTCGTGCTTGGAGCGGAGGTGGGAGAGCTCGGCCTGCAGCTGCTCGTCGTGGTAGAAGGAGCGGAAGTGGCTCTTGCAGACCGGGCAGGGGAACACGTGGTAGATCGAGTCGAAGATCGACCGGAAGGAGGCGAGGGCGCGAGCATCCGGCTGCTGGTCGAGGTAGACGCTGCTGGCATGGATGAAGGTCCAGAAGGCTCGGCCGAGCATGGTGCGGTCGGGGGGCAGGTCGCGAGCGTCCCTGCGGTCGAGGGGGTCGACGACGAGCCCATCCCTCATCCTCCACCTCGCGCTCGTCGCCTGCAGGACTTCGTCCTTCTCTGCTCGTCCCAAGTCTCCCAGATGCAGCTGAGGAGGAAGAGAGTGAGAGGAGCAGGAGGTGGAAGAGAACCGCACCCTTGCCGTCGCCCCGCGCTTGAAGCTGTCAACCCCTATGCCGAGGCTGCAAACATGACGATGAGGAGGAGAAGAGGGGGAGGAGCGAAGGGTGAGGACAGGCAGAGGAAGGGACAAGGAGGGGAGAGATGAACCTGGCAGGGAACGGGCTGCGGGAAGGAAAGGTCTCAGCCGAGATCATCTGTTGCGCGAGGTCAGGAGCACAAGGAGCAAGGAGAGGAGCTTGACGTTGTGTAGCTTCCACATGAAGAGCTGCGCGTCCTCAGCCTGCGGGGGAGAGTGAGAGGAACCGAACGAGAGGAGCGAAGCGAGTCATTTCACCGTCGACATGGTCGTGAACTCTTCCTTGACATCCGGCAAGTCCAGCAGAGCAGACACCAGAGCTCCTCCCTGCCCGCTCCTCACCCTCTCCTCCCACCACCGACCTCTGTCAGCCTTCACCTTCCCGGGATAGAGGTGCTTCACTGCAGTCACCAAGTCTTGGAACCCTGACGGCTGCGTCATGTGCGCGCGGGGAGAAGGCAGAGGAAGGCACCTTTGATCTCGTCCTCCTGCAGGTCTGCAGGGAGGTAGGCGGCGGTTGTGTGCAGCATCTGACATGCTCGTCACGACTGCTCGACTCCTCCCTCCCTCACCGTCCATGTCGCTCTCCCCAGCA